TGAACACATTCCCGCGGCAACGAGTGCACGCGACAGCAGAAAAATTGTTGCACGCGTCGTATCAAAGGAGAGTGTGTGGGCCTGTGTATCCGCCTATCGTTGCTAGGCAACGGCTCGGTAAACATGTTCCCGCTGCAATGAATTTTTGTAAGCTTCGTTTTCTATGAGGTCTATGTCGTGTCAAAGGAAAACGGGCGATTAGTTCTTCCCAGAACCTCTTGTAATATTATTTCCTGATCTACGCCTAAATTTATCAAGTGATCCGCTACCGTCAGGTTTTTCGATTACAATTTTCTATGCATTTCTCATCTCGCCTCAAGATCTGAGACCAAAAGTCCTAGAGCCGTGAGACAGTAGAATATGGCAATGAGTCCCGCGGGACTGGGAACCAGGAATCATTGTGCTGGCGAGGGCCAGCATCAATTTAGCAGTCAGTCATCTCCCCCAGCATGGCTCAGGGTAGGATTAGAGACATTAATTATTTATTAATAATTCGTTATTACATATTTAATCCATTAGTGTCCCTTTAAAGCTAGTGGTTACTATATGTACCATATTTAGAAGCAGCCCTTATGCGTATTTATTTGATAGATTTCAAAATAAATGTGTCAGAATTACTCTTATAACTGAACTGTCATGGCTGACAGACAAAAGAACGCAATGTGGAGACCTAAGAATAGGAAGCATTTTGGAATTTAAGAACTACCCGGAAGGACGGAAGAGTGTATTCCGAACCCGAGTAAATCGGGACGGAGCTGTCCTTATGTATTAGGAATCGAGACTTCTTTCACCTTTACTTCCTTGACTTATGATCAGTGACTGCAGTGCGTTTGCTCTACCAGTTGTTCCGTGTTATTTGCCGGGCAGTAACGAAGTTACCCCGGAAACTGGATAACCTTCATTGAAGGTTCTTTGCCTGGGAACTGCCCACATTCAAACAAACGTTACAGTGACAGCTCAGGTACCACTGCTTAGCAACGGCGAGTAAACAGTCGTTGCTATGTAAGGTCTACAACAATATGTGACTATGGGATACACCCACAGTGGATCGTGTGCTAGCCAATCGCAAGCTAGAAACCGTTGGCTGTCTACCAACAGCTGATTAAACAGCCGGTGCTAGTCAACCCCATGTGGAGACGGGGTCGAATACCTCCACCGTGACCCTGCGAATCGTAGGATGCGACGAAAAGGGAAGTCTAAAATCTGAGATAGTAAAATATGGTCACAAGTCCCAAGGGACTCGGACCCCATAAAGATTGCGCTGGCAAGGGCCAGCAGCATATACAAAAGACAGACCCATCCTCTCGTCAGAGAGGGCTCCTCACAATAACAAGACCGTAACTGTCAAAGAGTAATAAATATCTGGTCATGAGCCTCAGATAGGGCTTGACACCAGGACTTACTAGCTGACCGTCAGTCGCAATGTGACTTGAACTTTGACTTGGGAGTTTGACGGCGGTCAGGCATACGACCGTTCAAGTGACTAGACTGCCGTTGTAGCGGATACTGCTAGAAATAGGGCATAGTCTGCTGTGCTGATCCTGGACTGACAGAGGCCTTGTATGTACATACATATGTATTATATTGTAACGTGTCTGGAATCCAGAAGAGTCGCTTCTATGGAAACGCTAGAACAGACCGCTACATAGGAAGTAACAATAGCGGCACTGTAATCCCAACAGTGAGCCGTTGTGTAGAGAACATCGAATCTCCACGGTTACGACGAATACGCGAAGCGTTCCCACAGAGACAACGCAATAACAATGGGTCATTGCGTAGGGAAGGCGGAACCGACAGAGCAACGTTTCCACTGCTATAACAGAGGGTTCGTTGCATAGCAGCGGCCAAGGTTATAAAAGCCCAGTTTCGACGAGAAGTCTTCAGTCTCGGAATAGCCAGCTAAGAAGCCAGTCGCGGTCGAGCCATCTTAGAAGTCAGTCCTAGAATAACCGCCAGAGAAGAGAGTCCAGTGTCGGCCGAGTTATTGTAAGCAGTAATTGTAACACTGCAAATGGTAATGGTTGTAAAGTGTGAGCGAACGGAATAAACTCGCTATATCGGACAACGGCGTAAACTTATTTGTAGCGTGACACACAAAATACGCTACAATATTGTACATATATTGTAATGTATTGTATTATACATACATATATACATTAAGTCTCAATTGTAAATACGTGTACATAGTGACAAAGGACTAATACTATCGACTGTGACTGACAAATGACAGACCCGACCTCTCGTCAGAGAGGGCGCCCCACATGGACAGGACAGTAACTTTCATTTAAAGAGTAACATCTGGTGGGGCTCGACACCAAGACAGACAGACTGACTGACCGTCAGTCGCAATGTGACTTTGACAGTTTTACATTCTTTCATCGTTGCATGTGTATTCGTTGCAGCGGGAACGTGTTTACCGAGCCGTTGCCTCTCAACGACATGAGGGATGCCCAGACAGCAAGGTTATCTCATAAACTTCCTTTCATTCTGTCAGAATAAGGATAGACAAATACCTGTAACAGGCCGTGAAGACCCATCGAGGCTTCCACATTTGCTAGGCAATCGTCTATTGTGACATCACACATGAAAGCCGGAATATCGGAGCGAGATGAGACGTCCATTGCTAGGGAACGTCTCGGTAAGCACAGCTGTACCACGGTCCTTTTTTAATCAGAGGATATCAGGTGTGTGTACGGGTATACACGTGCTAAGTTATAGTGCAACAAATGTGGCGTTTATTCAGAAAAGCTAACGAATTCTATCGTCGAATAAGAGACACCATTTCAGAACATGTAAGCGGTCTTAGAAAGAACAAAAATTTAGCAATGGGTCCCGACGGGGCCCCGAAACCAAGAATAAATGTGTTGGCGAAGGCCAGCAACACATTTCTGCTCTGCTCAGGACGGGCAGTCGGTGGTTATCCGTGAGCTGGTGATCACGGGAGCAGCAAAAGGAATCTTAACTGTTAGAAGCCGCTACCAAGCAACGAGTGTGTGAAGACATAGCTCAGTGGGTAGACTTGGAGTGTGCTATACTTATGTGTAGAGTGCGCAGAACAGCGAAAATGCTGTAACTATCGGTGAAAACCTGCCCCAGCGCCACTTTGTCCACCACAAATCCCACTTGACCAGGCCCCGGGATCGAACCCGGGCCACCGCGGTGGAAAGCCAGCGACTAACCGCTTGACCTATGGCGCGGCCTAATGAGCATTAAGTAAATTCAGTATTCAAAAGATTACGAAACTGAAGAAGAGGCCAGGGCCCAAGAAAGGGCTGTAGAGCCATTGATGAATGAAATTCAGTATTCAGTGCAAACCATGTGTCTAGTCACTAACACGTGACAATACGATACAATTTATAATTGATTATTTGTGCGTGTTATTCGTGGGAGATGGCGTTAAGTACCGGCCTCGATATATCTGATAACTTATAGGACTGGAAAGATTTGTTGGAAAAGACGGGGCAAAATAATAGCACGAAAGCTGTTATAACATATGGCGGGACTTCATATTGAATTTTGAGTGGGTATTATGTTCATTATGAAAAAAAAAAAAGCTGGACTGAATAATATATAAATTCAAATTCCAAGATAATCCCCTTTATCATTGCTGTGCTGAATTATACCTCACTCCCAGAAAACATATGGGGCAGTGGAGTATATCTCCATGCATTCTTAGCTTCGGCATTCAATTGACGTGAGCTTTTAGCGTCATGCTCCAGCAGCTGTAGCCCTGGCTAAAGAGACTAGTTTAGTGGTCCCAGAGCCGCCCAAGGCGCCGTCGAGAAGAGAAGAACGAATTTTCATGCCTCCAGTTTAAGTGGTTTATCAGTGCGCTGGCAGGCAGTCCCCTCTATGTATTCAGGGAGTTTCTTACCGTTACCGCAGCTGATGCAAACTTTTACGTATTTCGCTTCTTACTGTAGTGAGTTAAGGAGACGGGACAGCGACTGGGTACGGAATGGACGGCCAAGGGGCCAGAGTTCGAGTCCCGGTAGGATCAAGAATTTTCACTTCACCACGTCGTCCAGACCGGCTCTGGGACCCGCCCAGCCCCATAGCCAATAAGTACCATGGTCTCTTTCCCCGGGGGTAAAGCGGCCGGAGCGTGAAGCTGACCACACCTCCAATTAGTGCCGAGGTCAAGAAAACGTGGATCTATACATCCACTCCCCCATACTCCTTCATGGTGTACTGTTTAATTAGCTAAGGACAACTTTACTTTCTTACTATAGTGAGTTCTGTGTTTTCTGCAGGCGCGCTGGTGACTGTCAACTAATAGTTTTCTTGTTAGTGTGAGTTCTGTGTGTTCTGCAGGCGCGCTGGTGACTGCCAACTAATAGTTTTCTTGTTACTGTACTGAGTTATGTGTTCTGCAGGCGCACTGGTGACTGCCAACTAATAGTTTTCTTGTTAGTGTGAGTTCTGTGTGTTCTGCAGGCGCGCTGGTGACTGCCAACTAATAGTTTTCTTGTTACTGTACTGAGTTATGTGTTCTGCAGGCGCACTGGTGACTGCCAGCTAATAGTTTTCTTGTTACTATAGTGAGTTCTGTGTGTTCTGCAGGCGCACTGGTGACTGCCAACTAATAGTTTTCTTGTTAGTGTGAGTTCTGTGTGTTCTGCAGGCGCGCTGGTGACTGCCAACTAATAGTTTTATTGTTACTGTATTGAGTTCTCTGTGTTCTGCAGGCGCACTGGTGACTGCCAACTAATAGTTTTCTTGTTAGTGTGAGTTCTGTGTGTTCTGCAGGCGCGCTGGTGACTGCCAACTAATAGTTTTATTGTTACTGTATTGAGTTCTCTGTGTTCTGCAGGCGCACTGGTGACTGCCAACTAATAGTTTTCTTGTTAGTGTGAGTTCTGTGTGTTCTGCAGGCGCGCTGGTGACTGCCAACCAATAGTTTTCTTGTTACTATAGTGAGTTCTGTGTGTTCTGCAGGCGCACTGGTGACTGCCAGCCAATATTTTTCTTGTTACTATAGTGAGTTCTGTGTTCTGCAGGCGCACTATGGTGGCTGTCCGCTGGTAGAGATGCTGGAGAAGCGGCGCTATGGGGCGGGGCTGCCCACGTATCCATTCCTGGCCGCCTGCCTCACGGCGGCGGTGTGCCTCTTCCTGTGGCGCCTGTCGAGCTGTCCCGTTCCCCAGGCCACGAGGCTCGTGGCCCCCAGCTACCTGCTGCTGCTACCCGGCAACGCCTCTTCTCTGCCGCCCCCCTACCCCATGCACAAACTGGGGCCAGGCGACCGAACCACTCTGATCGACGTGAAGGACTTCGCCTTTCAGCTGAACAACTTCCCGTGTAACGGGTCGAGTTCTTTGCTGCTCCTGGTGCTCGTGCACTCGGCGCCGGGGAACGTGGAGAAGCGACGCACCATCCGCGAGACGTGGGGCCGCGGACCCCACCGGGTGCTGTTCCTGCTGGGTGCCGTGGAGTCGCCAGCAATGCAAGCCGCCCTGGAGGAGGAGAACCGCGTGCACCGCGACCTGGTGCAGGGACGCTTCCTCGACTCCTACCGCAACATGACGTATAAGCACGTGATGGCGCTCAAGTGGACCGCGTACTACTGCCCCGGCGCTCGCTACTTGCTCAAGACGGACGACGACGTGTTCGTCAACTCTCCCGCTCTCCTCGACTTCCTGGCTCAGGACTTATCGCCGTGGGGTGCCCGGCGCCTCATCCTCTGCGAACCCTTCAGCTTTGCCTACGTGAAGCGCTCCTACAGGTCCAAGTGGCGGGTCTCTCCCCTCGAGTACCCCGGGCGCATGTACCCCGCCTATTGTGCAGGCTGGGCCGTGCTCTACTCGCCCGACGTGGTGTTCCTCCTGTACCGCGAGGCACAGCGAACCAAGTACTTCTGGATCGACGATGTGCACGTTACGGGTACCCTGGCAGCACGCGCTAACCTGACACAGACATCACTCGGCTCCCTGGTGCTGTCCCGGGAGCAGGTCCAGTTTCTGGTCGGCCCCAGGGATAATGGCTCCGAAATTGGCTCGTTCCTGTTCGGGTCGCCCAACCTGTCGCTCAGCGACATACATCGCTTGTGGCAGCTGGTACAGGAGCGTCGGCCGGCGTCTTGACGTGCACAGTGACAGGAACTGTTCTCCCAAGTGCCTTCTCTTTAGTCACACAGATGCGATAGGTGGTGGAAGGCTAGTGAAATTTACAAAATATGGCTTACGCTTAATTAGCACGTACTTAAAATTAATTGAAATCGGATATAATTTGTGACCTCTTTACGGGTTTGTGGCAAACGAAGTTAATTTATAAATAAATATATTCTCATTGTCAACAATATGATATATATGACACAAAAAGAACATGGTGATATAGAAAAATATATTATTAGAATAAAAAATATACATATATTATGTATTTTCGTAAAGAGCGGGATTCCCAGACAAACTCGTAACACATTGCTGTCAGGTCTACTTGGTCTTCGTGACCCTGTAATTTATTTGAATATTGAAATGATATTTTCTGGAGCGAATGTCTTGCATGATTGACTGAATGGTGTTTTTGCAGCTCTCGGTGGAGATCAGGCCATAAAACAATGTGCTCACTTCTGTTCGACATGCAATATGTCAGATTCTTCTGTCTATATTCCACTCTTGCACGTTATATTGCAAGGTGCTAGTTCTCTGTCTCTCTCTAGTGACCACCAGACAATTAGCAGAATCTCGTTTTAATACTAATTAAGTATAATAAGTGGGTCCAATCGCAACTTTTGCTCGATGCCTCTTCCACACTGATGCTTTCAGCACAGATATTTGTGTTCAGATCACTGAGGAACAAGATTATCTGGATCTTGGTGGAGACATAGCATTATTTCTGAGGAATATAATGTCTTTTGTCTGCAATCTTCAATTTGAGTACATAGAGGCAATACATTCCTTACAAACATTGGTATATACCTACCAAACTACACGGAATCATGCCCCAGAAGGCCATGATCTTGATGCTTTTCTTGTTGGTATTAAATGTTTAGTTGCCCAATACCCAGTATTTTTTGTATCTTTGTTTGTCATGTCACAGATGCATGAATTCAGCAGCTGCTGTTACTGGAAAATCACTTCATTACTGAAACTTGTGTCATGAAGTTCTGAGGGATAAGTCTAGTCCAGAATTACACTTAATATACATCCAAATATGAAGGGAATTTCTGTGGAAGATGTGGATATTAAATTTTAGAATATTAATATAATTTCAAAGGTCTAAATATTTCAGATATGAAGGGAATATGAACCAAATGTTATAAATGTTACCTTACACAAACACAGATGATGTATCAAACATATTGTCGTGTGTTTGGAATCTGGAAGCGATACTTCCGTGGAAATGCAATAACAACAGACGCTGCATAGGAATATCGGTAACGAGTATTCATTGCGTAACAACGCAGTAACAGTGGGCCGTTGCATAGGAACAGCCCAAGGAAGGACAACAGAAGGTTCGTTGCATAACAACATCAGACACGAGGTTATAAAACTGCAGCTTTGTTATCCAGAAGGAGTCAAATGTGCAAACTGTTGTAATCAAGTGAAATTGTAATAGAGAATAGACTGATACAGTATCGGTCACATGTACCCTCCTACGTGTGACAGTCTGTCTGTATGTGTGTAGCAACACAGACAACAAGAAATCTGCCATACCCTGGCAACGGTCACACAGGTACACCACAGTTGATTGCTAGAAGCAGTGGAAGTGCCTTCTAGCAGTAAGAACAAGGTAAGGTGAATGTGTCACTCAGAACCACAGGACAGGGAGAGGAGTAATTGCTTGTGGGATTGTCGATGTTCAGAAGTTGGCTGGCCCTGGAAAGGGCAGTTTGTTCCACCGTGAGTGTGCTGGCAGAATTTGCTCCTTTGTAGTAGACCAAGTCTTCACACCGTTCAGTTGGTTTGTCCGGCCGGTGATTTGGTGCTGCTTGCGCCAGTAGGAACAGCTGCCTACGGTTCGGATGATGACTGAGCCGTTGTCTCGACTCGGTTGCTGGAGAGTTGCGGCAGCTACATTAGTTGTCTGGTAGCAGAGCGTGATTGCTGGGGAGTTGCGGCAGCTGTCTTTGGCGCAGTAAAGAGCTGATGACTCTGATGACTGATCGATCTGAACTGAATGTGATCACAGATGATTGCTAGCTTTGGGCTCCAAATTTTATACCATGCTTGCTGGGCGGAGCTTAAACTTGCAGTTGTGATTGTGAGCACTGATTGTCTAGCGCACGTGATGATCTACAGATGGGCTGGACATCGAGTGCTGTATAAACACAAGTGGTGGCAGCAACATGTGGCAATATGATACTGACTAGGCGAGAGCGCCGTCTGTTAGACTGGCGAAACTGCCTGTTAGTATGTGGGATGTTCCCACAGTCTTGCTCTAGCAAGTTTAGTGGTCAGACAGTAACTCTTATTAAAGCCAAGAATAACTGTAAAGTTTTCAAGAAAACTCCAGCACAAATCAGTTTATTTAATCAATGATACAGTTTGCATAATAGTATTTTATCATCTATATAAGTTATGTTGAATATTAAAATGGGTCTTAAAGACAGAGGATGGGATGGTATGGATTGGATTGATCTGACTCAGGATAGGAACCAGTGGAGGGCTCTTGTGAACACGGTAATGAACCTTTGGGTTCTATAAAATGCTGGGAAATTCTTGAGTAGCTGCAGATTTGGCTTCTCCTCAAGAAGGGCTCGGCTCCATAAGTAAGTAGGTTATGTTGTGATGAATGGGCAAATTATAAGATTGTACTGAAATGCATAATTATGATCAGTTTTTCTGAAAGTGCTGGAGATAGCAATGAAAAACTCCGGTCAGGGTAGTTAGTATCCCTTTGAGATTCAAAATGGGTATGTTCCAATTCTGAGGTAAATGCTGTACCACTACATACACATAATTCATTATTCATGGGACACAGAAATTGAGCTTTAAAGCTGCTTGCACATGATCAATTGATATGTTTGTGAGTGATCATGAAGAAATAGAAATGGCTTAATTTTTTGCCTTAAGACTGTCTCATAAGACATTTAAGATTTTGGTTCATAGATCCTTCTCATTCAAGACTTATAGATATTATTGTGTGGGCCTGTATAATATTCATAAAACATTTACTTTATGTTGTTAGATTTGTCTACATGTTTATACTTAAATTTTTTGTACTATCAGTACAGTTGGTACTACGCTTAATTTTAAATTGAGTACTACAAACATTAAATGAAGAAGATTCATATTTATATGAAAATGCAGACTGCAAACGTGTAGTATATTTTGAATAGCTGAATAACAAGTTTGGTACTGTGTACTCAAAAGCAAGAAAGGACATAAATTGTCTAATTTTGGTTGGGGTTTTTGGAGTTGTTCCAACACTTTAGATTACATTGCTGTTTCTGTCTTTGAGTTACAAGGAGGATTTGAGCCCTGTGTATGTAGGTTGCATAATAGAAGTAGGAGTGTGTGGTGTGGAGCATGGTGCAATCCAGTGGGAAGGGGCCACCCTTATTTCCACTGTAAGATTTATATATCGAGGTGCATCCTACATCTGTATCATTCCCCCCCCCTGAAGATGTTGGCAGCAGTGTGTGTCCAGAAATGGGGCAACTTTAACCCATAACTTGGCTAAACCCTGAAAGCTGAAATTATGCTTCAGATATAACTTAAGGATGTGAAGATGGGGGAATAAACTACCTAAACTTCCAAATATATTTGTAACACCATCTACAGAACTGGTCAAGTGGCTGGGATAGCTCAGTTGGTATAGCAGTGGGCTACACGCTGGACAGCTGGGGTTCAAATCCTAGCAGGGGCAAGATTTTTCTTTTCCCCTTAGCATCCAGACCAGCTCTTGGGTTAACCCAGCCTTGTATCCAATGAGTACTTAGGGCTTTTCCCCCGGGGGTGAAGCGGCTGATGCTTTAAGCTCCATCTAGTGTCAAGGTTAAGAATGATGGAGCTATGTTTCCACTCCCCCCATATTCCTCCATGGTGTGGTGCTTAGTTGAGCACAGCGACTTCACGTGTACACAACTGTTCTGCTTTGTTTTGGTTATTCCATTGGTTTAATTCCTGGCAAGGGCAAGATATTTACCTTTTCTTCTTAGCATCCACTCTGCCTCTGGTGCTGACCCACCCTCGTATCCGACGAGTGCTGGAGACAGCATCTTGTGTGATAAATCAGTGGGGCCCACAGGTGACCAATCACCTCTTAACTAGTTTGAGGTTAAGAATATGTGGAGATGTACCTCCACTCCCCCATATATCTTCATGGCATGCTGCTTAATCAATTAAGCACAGGGACATCTTTACCTTTACTCTTGTTCCATTGATCATCAGTGTATGCTGACAACGTTTGTTGTCTTCCAGCTGTCACATTTGTATGCGTAAAACAGGATGGAATGGTGGAGCACGAACTTCTGATCAAACTTTCTCACTTGAGTCCATCCAAATGCCAGGTCAGGAGAGAAATTTAAAGTAGGAATGAAGCTGGAATAATACACAGCTTGCTCAGGCCTGTTGAATGGAGGATTGATGAAATGTTGATTGGAAGAGGTAACCAAAATACACTCGCAGAAACCTCCTCTGATGCCATTTTGTTCATCACAATCTTTACATAAACGGCCCTGTGTTGTGGCAAGCCTGTGTTGAATCACCAAAGATATGGTATGGACAGATGTTTGAAGTAGTTTACTGAAATTGTTTGTTAGTTCCTTGAGGCTTGCACCAGCCATCTGTGAGTACAGATGCAATTAGAAGAGACATGATGTACAGATGTGAGGCAGAAGGGAGTGTATAACATTCCAAGCTATCAGGTTAACTAAATAAGGAATGTTAACGCACTTCAGTTGTTTGTGTGCTCACAGAGGACAGAGCATTGCATGGCTCACACTAAAGTCACACATTCTACCACTCATGGTACCATGGAATTTAATTTAGTATAAGAAATGTCAATACAAACTCTTGAACTGTATTTCTGCCCAGTCTTTAAACAGAAAAACGTGAACTATAGTGAAATAATTTTCACACCATAAGCACTACTTAAATGATTGACTAATTGGAATAAAGTTGATTGAAATGCAGATTCCAACAAATTAAACAAGTCAAAGAAGAACTATAACTTCACAGAGATGTTAGTGGTGGCATTTCCTTCAGATAATGATAAATCACTTCAACATGAAGTAATACAATCCATTAGACTGCCTAAAATTTCAAAGTAAGCGCCAAAAACTCGGAAACTTTGTGGGTGACAGATATTTATAGCCTTTGATAATTATGATTTCACCATCTTACAGCTTATATTTTATAAAAAGAAAAGACAAAATACAAAATATGTTTCTCTACAAGTTATCCAATTGCTTTTGAAACTTAAATACACTTCATCGCAAGTTGTTGACAGTGAAGTCAGAATTATTAAAGGATATTCATTAAAAAAGGGCATCAATTCAAAATTGTTTCCATGAAAAGGTACTAAGATATTCACTTGTCTGTACCCACTGGTTTACAGATAGTATTTTGTTTCTGCCAAACTGTTTTTATTGCTTTTAAAATCAAAAGAGGCACATTTTCCTATTAAATGGAGTTAAATATTATTAACAGTATTATCTGTCTATAAATATTACTTGGTGGAAATCCACACTATTATAAAAATGGCCTTAGAAGTTGATTATATTGAAGAGGTTAATGCAGTTAGTAAATACATGTCAGGAAATTCTATAGGGTTCAGAGAAAATTTTAGTATAATGAAGATACTGTACTGTACTTCAAAGTGATCTTGTTTCTTGCTTAGAATAGATCAGTGATTTCCAAACTTAACACAAACATTTTATTCCATCTTTCAAACTACAAATGAGAGAGTGAAAGAAGACTAATTCATGTACCGTCTGTATTTGGTTCAAAGTATAAATCTCAATGATGAATTAGTAAGCTGGATCTATTCCCAGGGGTTTATTTTATGATGCTGTCAGCTTCTCGGACAATGTGATACCAGGTGGTATGTTGATTGCTGAATTATGAATTGCAAAGGGTATGGAAGGAAGGAATTATGGCCTAATTGGGGTATAATCCTGGCATTTGTGAGAGGAACTAAGGAAAACCATTAAAACCTCATACAAAATAGCCAGTGCCCTGGCCTAAATGCGAACCCAGCATCTCCAAGATAAAAGCCTAGAGTATTACTATCACACAGTCATGCTGGGGCTCGGTTCCAAGGATTCTTACAATTCATATGTGTGCCAATTTTGTTTGGAATGGATCTACAGATTTCCTTTTCAAACAGTAACGTGGCTGTTTCCCTGAGGAGAAGGCTGCTAGTGCATGATAACTTCTGCCCTCTGTCTAGTGGTGGGTGATTTTGCTTGCTTACACCACAAAATGGTTTCCTTCACCTTTGACTCTTTGTGTAGTTAATCTGTTCTCTCACAGATATTTAAAAACATAATTCTTAAGTGGAGGTTTTTATATATAAGATATTGGGAGATATACGTGCAAAATTCTGACTTAAACCCTCAAGGGAAGACACCACTTGAGCATTTGGGAGATGTAGTTATATGTAGGAGGTCTGGTCTGGTTTAGTAATTTGCTCTTGGCCTTTGCCAGCACGGTCATTTCTGATTTTGTGCCTGTGGGATCTGTGACCACATTTTTCTGTTCATGAGGACAGTATTAAAGTGGGTCTTATGTAAGTTCATAAGTAAGATATGAAGGTATGGACCAGATTCGAGTGGTTCTGGGTGGGTTCAAATGTTGGACTCTTGTGTACAAAGAAATGGATCATACAATTCTAGAAGGGGCAGGAAAATTCTTGAGCTGTTAGAGGATGTTGGCTTTCTACAAACGGTCTGCCACATAGAGTTGGTTACATATAGGCCTTTCTCAAACACATGAGTTCATCTTTCCAGGAAAACCCTGTACCATGCAGTTGAATGAAATTGAGGAAAGACTCAAATGGAGATAGCTCAGTGCTGATGTTATTGACTTGATCATTAAAACTGAAAAGTAAATGAGCGAAAACCTTAAACTGAGGAACATTAAAGGGGTGGGTACTAAAACTTAAGTAGCTCTCAGAGAAGATGTGTTCATAGTTTGGAAGTCACTGGGAAAATTCTCACTCTCTTCTTACTGAAATCTGAGATAGAATATATTAACTGGGCATACATTTTTTTAAATATTTTGTATTTAACTTGCCTGTTACATCTGAATTTCAGCATTATTCAGATGTGAAGTTGCCAAACGTGTTAGTCATTTGTGTGACCTGTACTTAACTAGTAATGTATTTATACAGGGGTGATGCCCCACTGGTACTTGAAGATCAACTGCATTTACTCATTGCCAATGTTTTCGATGTTAACTATATACAGACTAGTTTTGTTGTACCCAGTCTATTTTTCAGTGTTTAATTGAAGCAGAGTATAAAAAAACTGTAATAAATACAACTAAATTAGTGTCCATGATTATATTAAAATTTCAAACATAGGCATGCAGATGAGATGTTAACCCTTTAAAGCACAGTGGTTACTATATGTACCACCATTTAAACATTCATAAACTCTACCTTTTGCATATAGGGCATATAAATGTGCTTAAATTCTCAGAATAAACAGTG